CCCTGAAAGGTTCTACCCAGAGCGCTTCATCGACGAGAACGGAAAATTCTTTATCAAGAAGGATGGTTTCTTGCCATTCTCAATTGGTGGGTGGTACACAAAGCTCATGTGCTCGTTATCGAAACTGAAGAATATTTCGCAAATTATTGTGTGAACATAATATTTTCCTTAGAGTTGAAGAAGTGTAGACGATCCCATTTTACATTGTTAGTTCTTGATTTTTTTTGCATAATTAGGAATTTATCGTTTAAATATGATAATAATTCTTAAAATTATTGGTTATATGAAGGTCGTCGGATCTGCCCTGGGGAGTCATTAGCATGCATGGAGCTGTTCTGCTTCTAAGCTGGTCTCCTGCAGAACTTCACCTTCTCTCTGCCTGCGGGTGTTCACGCCTCCACCGAGAAGAACCCTGAAATCCGCCTTGTTAACTTCCCAGAGCAGTACGACATCATCATTAACAATAGATCATAAAGATTTGTTATCTAAAGAGTTTTAATATTATACCGTCTATTTTGAGTAAATAAACTGGATATTATTTATGACATAAATGCTCTAATTCTATGGGAACCCATAAATTTATCATAAGCAGTTAACTTGCAAGATGCTGGCCAATTGTCACGTCTGAGATCAGCCCGTTCTGTCGAGTGTTTACGTCACTTAAATGATTTTATTTATTTATTATATATTCTACAGTTCTTACATTCTTGTACAGGCACTAGCCCGCATAGCGTTTCGGTCTGGTCTTTAATCCTAATATTCCCCGGAATACAACCCGCCAAATCGCTTAACAATCGTTTAATTCTTCTAACAACGGTAAACAGGCTACAGTTAAGTATTGGCGCCCAGTAAATCCTCCCCGGCCATGATATGAACCCAGGCCAAAGCGCTCGCGAAACGCCAGGGTAGCGTCTTACCACTACGCCACGGGGACTGCACTGAACTAAATGCACTAAATGATGTACTAAATTGCCTAAACCTAACCTAACAGAGGACCCTCGAAAAGAAAACGGGTCATCACGTACGCTTGATGTCCATAGGGAATGGAAAGGATGGGGGAGGTAGAGGGATGGGGAGATGAAATTCAGGAAGAGGATGCGGGTGTAGAGAGAGAGGAGGTTTGAAAGTTCGGTGGCCTGTCCACCATGGGTTGACATTTTTGTATGTGTTGTTTGTTTGCGTGTGTGTTATGTTGGGTTGTCAGTACATTGGCTGGGGGGCTAGTGTTTGTGACCTTGTTGGTGTCCTAAAGCACTAGAGCCGATGGAGTTGGCTGAAGGAGGCTAATCTTAGAAACATCAGGGTAGTTACACTTCTGACGCCACGACAAATGGTTTTTGGTTTTATATTTTTTTGTAGGTGTTTTATTATATATATATATTTTTTTTTTTTTTTTTTTTTTTTTTTTTTTTTTTTTTTTTTATTTATTTATTATTTTTTTTTTCTTTCTTTCTTTATTCTTCATATGGTGTAGATTGGGTCCGGGATGGGCCACTCATCTGGATCGTCTGGCAGACCGCTTAGTATCTGAGGGCTTGGGAAGGCCTCATCATGGATATGTCATCACGTACGTTTTACGAACTGCTATCATTTTTAGTGCACCTTATTATAATGTTGAGGATTTTTACGTCAAAAATGCGATGTGTTATGCGAGAGAACAGGTTGGCACTCACCCATAATTGTAACTCAGTGTAATTGTGACCCAGTGTAACTGGGTCTTCAGTGCCCAGTCAAAAGAGCCAGGAATGAGACGGGAATGGTCACGCAAGGAATGAGATAGGAATGGCCTCATCAACATACAATGATGGTTTCCGGGTGTAATGTAATGGTCTTAGTACAGTGCTAAGACAAACTGGGAGCACTGCCTTCTAAGTCACACACTTCAGACTGTACATAAAGTGGGCTGCTACGAATAGTCTGTTGGTGATGACGTCACTATGACCAACACCACTGGACACGTTACATATTACACAAGACGGTTCGCCAACGAATTTTGAACCCCTGCCTAGCCTAGCCTAAGCTAGTACACCCTAACCTAACTCTACCTAGCCTAACCTAAGCTTACTCTACCTAGCTCTAACCTAACTCTACCTAGCCTAACCTAAGCTAACTATTCCTAACTCTACCTAGCCTAACCTAATCTAGTACACCCTAACCTAACTCTACGTAGCCTAACCTAAGCTAACTCTACCTAGCTCTAACCTAACTCTACCTAGCATAACCTAAGCTAATACACCCTAACCTAACCCTACCTAGCCTAACCTAATACACCCTAACCTAACAACATAAAAGGTTTTGACAACCGGAAAACGAGCTTGTCGAACCGTCTTGTGTACACGATTTAATAATACTCCACAACACTGGCCGTGAGGAATTGATAATAAGGTCTTCAGGAGATGCATCATTTTTTTTTTTTTTGGAGCAAGATGACGTTAAAGAATAATAATGTGTTCCCCCCCCCCCCCATAACACTCAAAAGGGAGAAAGCACGAGTATAAAGAGCTATGACATGTTTAGAACCGAGAACTGTATGTACGGACAGCACAAAACATCCACAATACAGTGTGACATTGTAATTGCTAGAATTAGACTAAAATATAGATATCTATGGCAGGTGGCTGCAGGTAATATATCTCCCAATGATGAACATTCCAATTGTAAACTATTTGAACAAGAGTTGGGACATACTCTCCAACATATGTGTTTCCCCTATTATCGATGACTTGACCAAATGGTATAAGGTACTTTGAGCTCTGTAACGACATACACTCACGGATACTGGAAGCTATTCTTGTACTACACCCAGAGTTTGCTAGTGTAGGCTGGTAGACTAGACGCATCTCACGTTCTCTCCTGATTCCATATATGATTAACCATCCTCTGAGACAGTGATATTAGATAAACTCAAACGATCCTGGGCGAGTGTGGAAACCATGATTGTTTTACTATGGAACATATTTGGAGAACATGATTTTTATTACCAGATTTAATATTTTAGGATCTGAGTTTAAAGTAAACGATACTTAATTATTTAATAATTTAGTGATGATTATTTGCGTATGTAGGGTAGTAATAGCTACTTAATATAGTGAATTATGTATTGAGGGTTTGTCGTCCTAAGTACAAACGGTCGGTGGGAAAAATAAGCTGCGAGACGTGTGTGTTGGAGCCACTTATAGCCAGTAGGCTATTTTAACTGGTTGCCTGGGTAGCCAGAATGTTAGTTTAATGCTAAATTTATTATTTGGAGAGAATTTCACCTCCCTGGGTGCCTGAGCCTTGCTTAATTCATTACTGAGATATTATTTTAATTATAACCATATACAAATGCTCCTAACTGAAACAAACTCACATCTATCTTTTTTCTATAATCATATTATGATTATATTCAGATTATGATTATATTCAGATTATTATCCATCAGATTATGTAGATTAGTGTAGCAGCACATTGCTGTGTGTACCCAAAAACATTATTAAAAAAAATCTTGTTCTTGTTCCTGATACTTCTAGAATAAGTCCCAGTATTCTATACTATATTTTCAGCGTATGTTGAATACATACATGAATGAGTTTAGGTCAATGTTCAGTTCGTCCTCTCGAGCGTTCCCAACGACACTAAGCAGATGTACTAAATTGGCCGAACCTAGCCTAACCGAGGACCAACGAATAGAAAATGTGACATTGCGTAAATTTTGCGAGCTGCTATGATTTTTAGCACATCAGTACTTGGTCTTAGTTTATTTATACGTCCGGTATTAGTATCAAACGTGCCACTCATTATCACCGACTCTTAATACGTGTTCTATCTTGAACGTTCTCACTCTGGCAAAACAAATCGTGTTCCCATTTGCATTAAATTCCATCAAAATTCTTAACCAGTTAACATCTTCCCATGCTTTAGCAACCCCTCCCCTTCCCCCCATCCCATTCTTCGCCAGCCTCCTCCTAGTGGTGACAATTTTTTCCTCTCCTCTTTAAAAAAATCATTAAAAAATCCAGCCCTGTCGCCATATTTATTTACTTCTTGTTCCTCAACAAATGAGTTAAATGAATAACACACAATAATGTAAAAATATTAAATAAAAAGTAAACTAGAAGGTCTTCTATTTTTTTGCATAGGTTTCGTATCAGAATTTTTTCAAGGATATATACTGTCAATGTCAAGGTGCAAGTAATATGTCTAAAATATAAAATCTTACAAGATAAACATCTTGGTTTTAGATGTCCACGGCATCGAAGTACAGTAATTATATATAAAGAAGGCACAAGCCGGGAAGACTATGTAGCACCATCGTTGGATATTCTTGGGTAGCTAAGACAGTTTTGGCTGGAAAGCCTATCGCTGTGACTACGTAACTCGGTACAACAAATTATTGGGTCAGAAATCACTGTTACACACTTTGACAAAGCCTTGAGGTATAATAGCTAGCACCCTAGCCGGCAGCTGAGCGGACAGAACACTGGATGCGTCATCCTGTGGTCCCGGGTTCGATCCCGGGCGCCGGCGAGAAACAATGAGCATAGTTTCTTTCACCCTAATGCGCCTGTTACAAAGCAGTAAATAGGTACCTGGGAGCTAGTCAGCTGTCACGGGCTGCTTCCTGGGGGTGGAGGCCTGGTCGAGGACCGGGCCGCGGGGACACTAAGCCCCGAAATCATCTCAAGATAACCCATGCTTGTGCACCTCACAGGCGAGAACACCTGGCTCGAACTCTTGACATGTAGGAAAAACTGAGCATAATTCCTTCACCCAACAGTAATGGATATATAATATGGCACTATTAGAGGTTCGTCTTCTAGTTCTCATAAGGGCAATTTAGGATTGTTCCCAGGTGCCCACAAGTAACAATCAACCCATCCTCTTGAACAGTACATCGCATTTTGACGAATAAATCCCGCTAGGGCTAAAAACTGACGTAGTAAAAACCATAGCGGCTGGCAAAAGAGTTGTGATGTAGAGTTTTCTATTCGCGGGTCCTCTGGTTAGGTTCGGGCAATTTAGTACACCAGTTTAATGGCGTTGAGATCGCTGGAGAGGACGGGCTGCTTCATAAAAACCACTACTTGTAAGTCTAAAATAAATATTTCATATAAGATCTGTATCATCTGTAATTGTACCCAGCCCTAATTGAAGTTAATTAAGCCCTAATTTAGTACTGGATGTGTCTACTGCCTTTGTTGAGACTTTCCTCGATTACTTTGAAAAGTATTATAATTTTATAATTATAAAAGTATAATTATACTAATTATTAATATTAGGTATTAATACCTAATAAAAGTATTAGCAGGTAATAAAACCACGAGGTCCAAGGTGTCTCGCATTTGAAACCGAACATAAAAGCTAATTAAGGTGCCATATTTTTAGTAAGAAAAGATGCAACAATGTTACAGGAAAATATCCATTTGATAGTGCAGTAATATATTTTCTTTTGGTAATAACAACATTGCAAAGCTTGGGGATATTGACAATACAAATAGTTGGGTCTTTCTCAAAGGGCAACTTTTCCCCCTTGGGGACAGAGAAAGTGAAGTTCTGCATTGAGGTAGCCTGGAAGAGGAAGAGCTCCATCCGTGCCAGAGACTCGCCCAGACACTGATGGAGGCCTGTGGGAGAAGACCAAGATAATTCGACCCTTAGTCATGCTAGCTGCCTTTCTTAAACATGGAAAACAAACTTGTGTTAGAGCTGATTTGTTATATGGGTAAATAAGGATTTGTGTCATAAAGAATATACATCATAGAAAATATCGAGTATATTTTCCTCACCAATGTTGAAGGTGATGTAGCTCTCCTTTTTACTGATGAAGTTACCATCGTTGTCGAGGAAGTGCAAGGGTAAAACTGGTCTGGCTTCTCCCATTAGTTGGGGTCCCTGTGGCAACACTCCTGGTGTGCGATCAGAATCGTCCCCTGAACACCCAAAAGAAAAACAACGAATAGTCACGAAATGAGTATTGAGTCACGTGCTGAGTGTTGGGCATTTACCTATCACCTATACGCACAGAAATGTTGAATTGTAAAGATAACAGTGTGTACTGCAACGCTCTCTGACACATCAAAGTTGAAACTCACTAAAACATTATGTGCGAAATAGTGCTACAGGTAAAACGTTGTTGCTGATTACACAGCCCAAGCTCTCATCACAATCTTAAGCTAGCATTTACAAAAGATCAACTACAGTACAGGTATATTATTATAGGTTGCCATATTCAAGGGTTGTTAACAAGGGTGCAAACTACACACAACAGTAACCTTGGGAATGGTGTAGTTGAAGAGATCAGTGTCACGTGTGGCCAGGTGAGGCAGGGCCCTTGGAGACACAGAGATGAGCCAATTAATCTCAGCGGCCACAGCCTCCGTGTACGGCAACCTGGAATACCAAGCCTTGTACAACATATATATACAAAAATAATAAAACAAAGATTATCTTTCATGAATGTAATACACACTTAATATCTAAATATCAACAGTGTTTGGTCGAAAACATTCGCTTGTCACAGTGTTCGAGAGCCGGGGCGGTGTCACGGGGCACCACCGAGTCGATCTCCCGCTAAACCCTGACTTGTACCTCAGGGTACTGGGCCATGTACAAAATATACCACCGCATCGTCGCCGACACCGTCTCCGTCCCACCAATGAACAGGTTCGCTACAGCTACCCACAAGTCATCCTCTGTGGATAATGTAAAATCTCAGGAATTTCTGCTTAAATAATTGTTCCCTTGGATCATTTACAGTAGATATGGAGAATATAATACTAGGAGAATGTATAAACGAATTGAAATGTATTAAAATAAAAGTAAAAAATTCTTTAAATCACAAGACTGGAAGGTGTGTGTTACAAGATCGTTTGGCTATGCTGAAAGAATGGATAATGATGACAGGTGAGAAAAGTATATATGAGAGAATGTAAGCGTAAGAGGGAGGGAGAGAGGAAAGCCAAGATGATGCAGACATGAGGAAATAGAGTGTGAAGAGAGAGATAATTTGAATTTATTTTATAAGACAACTGAACACGTTATCTTATGATGCGGTGGATTGTTGTCAATTTGCTGAATGGGGTGATGTCAAGTATATAAGATGTAGTGAATGTGTATGTGTAGTGTTTGTAATATTTCTAGTCTTCTTTTACTTTACATGTATGACCTTTATTTTCAACAGGGTAACGTTTCCCCACCCTATGGGGTAATAAAGAAAATTTTTACTTTAATATGAAACTTTGAATTCCTGGAAATAGTTTACGTGTTGATGCAGTGAAATTGAAATAATAGCATTATATTGAAACACACTTGTAGACTTGATAGGCTTCTCATTTCTATAAATACCCATTCAAATATTGAGTCTAGATTCTTACAAAATTCTTACAGGGCGTTTCCAGAGCGATTAGTATCGGGTATTGGACTTAAAACATGAACTGTTTAAAGTTTTAAGAGGGTTAAAGAACATGCATAACCATAAAGTACTTAAATTATATTAACAATGAGAATAAAGAAATATGATAAGAAGAACTCTGAGAGGTAAAAGTTTAAGAAATTGAGAGAGGTTACCGCAGAAGGTCGACTCCTGGTTGTTCTCCTTCTCCATCTCCACCAGGTAAGCATCGATGTAGTCCCGGATGTCGCTGGGGTTCAGCGAGGCTCGGTGCCTCTTGATCTCCTCCTGTCAGGGAACCCGCCGAATAACCGTTGTTTAATGATATAGCATATTATTTGTAAGCTAATAATGCAGTTACTTTACTTTACTTTAGCTATAGTAATCGAGTAGGGTCTCAGACCTGAGTAAACTATGGCCCTTCTACATCATCGCTACTCTTTTTTTTCGTTTTTTAACAAACCAAACCTCACCTGAGTGTTACCGCTAAAATCGGCAAGTTTATTGTGCACCCCATACTCACCCTGTGAGCGATAGTGCAAAAAAGCATTACAGAGGGCATGAAAAGTCTTAATCATTACCACAACGGGAATTTTTATCTTTACAATTTCACCAAATCTACTCCGACCAATCCTAACCTAGCCTAATGGAAACGAGAGATAAAATTGTTTTATATAGTGTGTACTACGTGCGATATCACTATGACGTCATAATTGTATTGCTAGTATAAGGTTTTGGATCCTACTGTGTTTATCTAGTCGTGTGCAAGGTACCGAGGCTCTTCACCCTTTACCAATAGGATGCCTTCAACTGACGCTTCTTTAAGAGGGATGTTATATTGTTTGAGTATTTGTATAAACAAAATATAATGTAATATTCCTTTACGAAAAATTTATTTTTATTATAGTATATTGTTAATTTACAAATAACACGTAGCAGTAGCTCATGTTTCTGAGGCTTTCTTAACATTTTTAACTTTTTTTTTTTAATATAACCTGACATATATAAAATTCCGGCTTGGACAGAGATTGCCTTATATTCGGTTATTTACCGTGAATATTTCCTCGACAGACTAAGTACACCTGACAGATTTGTTATTTGGTGTATTACAGGCCTTTTAATTGAAATATCTCAAAGCTTCAAAATCAACATCATACAACACAAAGAAAATCAACTAATAACAGACCGTTAGGCTCCACACAAGCAAGTTCGTATATGGATGGTTAGGAGACAAATTCTACGTTTGCACTTTACGAGCATGTAATTCTTGATTTTCCTCGCCTTCACACTCATTTGTCCAATATTTAGCCAGTCGACGAGCTACTGCGGAGTGCAGGGGATGACCCATGGGACCACACTCCGTTACCTTGAAAGTCAATAAACAACGGTGTAATCAGCTGATGCAACGACTGGACTTCAGGGTCGTCAACTTCGTACCGACGATCTGAAAAAGTGACAGCCTTACATACTGGGTTAATAAGACAGTCTTCTATACTACTGTGTTAAGTGTGACAGTCAGTCTTCTATACTACTGAGCTAGTGTGACAGTCAGTCTTCTAAACTACTGTGTTAGTGTGACAGTCAGACTTTTATTCTACTGTGTTAGTGTGACAGTCAGTGTTCTATTCTACTGTGTTAGTGTGATAGTCAGTCTTCTATACTACTGTGTTAGTGTGACAGTCAGTCTTCTACACTACTGTGTTAGTGTGACAGTCAGTCTTCTATTCTACTGTGTTAGTGTGACAGTCAGTCTTCTATACTACTGTGTTAGTGTGACAGTCAGTCTTCTACACTACTGTGTTAGTGTGACAGTCAGTCTTCTACACTACTGTGTTAGTGTGACAGTCAGTCTTCTACACTACTGTGTTAGTGTGACAGTCAGTCTTCTACACTACTGTGTTAGTGTGACAGTCAGTCTTCTACACTACTGTGTTAGTGTGACAGTCAGTCTTCTACACTACTGTGTTAGTGTGCCAATCATAGATACTGCGTTGAGCCATGCAAGTCAACCACTGTTCAAGTGACACTCGGGTTCTCTTCCTTAAATTTATCACAAGTCACCTGCGGTTAGCTTCCAGATGACGTTGAGGAATGCGACGTTAATGGACCAAGGAAGCGTCTGGCTCTGGCCCGAGTATTTGGTGAAGTCCTAGACGAGGCGGGCGGCTTCGTACTGGATAGTGGTTTCCATGCTCGACTTGCCCATCCCCATCTCCCGCAGGTGGCGCAGCGCAAACCGCCGCCCGTTGTACAGCACGGGTGGAACATGGACAAGGGGACACAGGTGGAAACTTAGTACCCAAATGAGCCACAAAGACATTATAAAGATTTTTTTTCACTGTCAGAGTAGTTAACAAATGGAATGCACTAAGAAGTGATGTGGTGGAAGATGACTCCATACATAGTTTCAAATGTAGATATGATAGAGCACCAGTAGGCTCAGGAATCTGTACACGAGTTGATTGACAGTTGAGAGGCGGGACCAAAGAGCCAGAGCTCAACCCCCGCAAGCACAACTAGGTGAGTACACAAGGGTGCCTGGTGGCTGAGTGAACAGCACTCAGGACTCGTCATCCTGGGAACTGGGGTTCGATCCCCGGCGATGGCAGAAAACAAATGGGTACAGTTTCTTTCACCCTGATGCTCCTGTTACTTAGCAGTAAATAGGAACCTGGGAGTTAGACAGCTGTTACGGGCTGTGTGTGTGTGTGTGTGTGTGTGTGTGTGTGTGTGTGTGTGTGTGTGTGTGTGTGTGTGTGTGTGTGTGTGTGTGTGTGAGTGTGTGCGTCACCGTGTGTGTACTCACCTAGTTGTGTCTGCAGGATCGAGCATTGACTCTTGGATCCCGCCTTTCGAGCATCGGTTGTTTACAGCAATGACTCCTGACCCATTTCCCTATCATACCTGGTTTTAAAATTATGAATAGTATTTGCTTCCACAACCTGTTCCTGAAGTGCATTCCATTTTCCCACTACTCTCACGCTAAAAGAAAACTTTCTAACATCTCACTGACTCATCTGAGTTTCAAGCTTCCATCCATGTCCCCTCGTTCTGTTACCATTCCGTGTGAACATTTCGTCTATGTCCACTCTGTCAATCCCTCTGAGTATCTTATACGTTCCTATCATGTCCCCCCTCTCCCTTCTTCTTTCTAGTGTCGTAAGGCACAGTTCCCTCAGGCGCTCCTCATACCCCATCCCTCGTAGCTCTGGGACGAGTCTCGTTGCAAACCTCTGAACCTTTTCCAGTTTCATTATATGCTTCTTCAGATGGGGACTCCATGATGAGGCGGCATACTCTAAGACTGGCCTTACGTAGGCAGTGTAAAGCACCCTAAATGCCTCCTTACTTAGGTTTCTGAATGATGTTCTAACTTTTGCCAGTGTAGAGTACCCTGCTGTCGTTATCCTATTTATATGTGCCTCAGGAGATAGATTAGGTGTTACGTCCACCCCAGGTCTCTTTCACGCGTCGTTACAGGTAGGCTGTTCCCCTTCATTGTGTACTGTCCCTTTGGTCTCCTATCTCCTAGTCCCATTTCCATAACTTTACATTTGCTCGTGTTGAATTCCAGTAGCCATTTCTCTGACCATCTCTGCAACCTGTTCAGGTCCTCTTGGAGGATCCTGCAATCCTCATCTGTCACAACTCTTCTCATCAACTTTGCGTCATCCGCAAACATCGACATGTAGGACTCTACGCCTGTAAACATGTCGTTAACATATACAAGAAATAGAATTGGTCCCAGCACCGATCCTTGTGGTACTCCACTTGTTACTGTTCGCCAGTCCGACTTCTCGCCCCTTACCGTAACTCTTTGGCTCCTTCCTGTTAGGTAGTTCCTTATCCATGCTAGGACCTTTCCCCCCACCCCCGCCTGCCTCTCGAGCTTGAACAGCAGTCTCATGTGCGGTACTGTATCAAAGGCTTTTTGGCAGTCCAGAAATATGCAGTCTGCCCAACCATCTCTGTCCTGTCTTATCCTCGTTATTTTATCATAGAATTCCAGAAGGTTTGTTAGGCACGATTTCCCTGTCCAGAACCCATGTTGATGTTTGTTCACAAACCTAATGTTCTCCAGGTGTGCAACCAGTCGTAGCCTAATTATTCTTTCCAGTATTTTACAGGGGATGCTTGTCAGTGATACAGGTCTATAGTTAAGTGCCTCCTCCCTATCACCTTTCTTGAAGATCGGCACGACATTTGCCTTCTTCCAGCAACTGGGCAATTCTCCTGACATAAGTGACTCATTAAAGATCATTGCCAGAGGCACGCTGAGGGCCTGTGCTGCTTCTTTTAGTATCCACGGTGATACTTTGTCTGGTCCAACTGCTTTAGTTGCATCTAGAGTTGTCAACTGTTTCATTACCTCCTCTGCTGTCACCTCTATATCTGATAGTCTTTCATCTAGGGTAACCCCTTCCAACAATGGGAGCTGCTCAGGCTCGGTAGTGAACACTCCATGGAAACTGGCATTCAGTGCCTCGCAGATTTCCTTGTCACTTTCAGTATATGCCCCCCTCTGTCTTCCTTAGTCTTGTCACTTGGTCGTTCACCGACATTTTTCTTCTTATATGACTGTGTAGTAACTTAGGTTGTTTTTTCGCTTTGATTGCAATATCGTTCTCATAGTCCCTTTCCGATGTTCGTCTTATGTGTGTGTGTGTGTGTGTGTGTGTGTACTCACCTATTTGTACTCACCTATTTGTGCTTGCGGGGGTTGAGCTTTGGCTCTTTGGTCCCGCCTCTCAACTGTCAATCAACTGGTGTACAGATTCCTGAGCCTACTGGGCTCTATCATATCTACATTTAAAACTGTGTATGGAGTCAGCCTCCACCACATCACTGCCTAATGCATTCCATCCGTTAACTACTCTGACACTGAAAAAGTTCCTTCTAACGTCTCTGTGGCTCATGTGAGTACTCAGTTTCCACCTGTGTCCCCTTGTTCGCGTCCCACCAGTGTTGAATAGTTTATCCTTGTTTACCCGGTCGATTCCTCTGAGGATTTTGTAGGTTGTGATCATGTCTCCCCTTACTCTTCTGTCTTCCAGTGTCGTAAGGTGCATTTCCCGCAGCCTTTCCTCGTAACTCATGCCTCTTAGTTCTGGGACTAGTCTAGTGGCATACCTTTGGACTTTTTCCAGCTTCGTCTTGTGCTTGACAAGGTACGGGCTCCATGCTGGGGCCGCATACTCCAGGATTGGTCTTACATATGTGGTGTACAAGATTCTGAATGATTCCTTACACAGGTTCCTGAACGCTGTTCTGATGTTAGCCAGCCTCGCATATGCCGCAGACGTTATTCTTTTTATGTGGGCTTCAGGAGACAGGTTTGGTGTGATATCAACTCCTAGATCTTTCTCTCTGTTCGTTTCATTAAGTACTTCATCTCCTATTCTGTATCCTGTGTTTGGCCTCCTATTTCCACCACCTAGTTTCATTACTTTGCATTTACTCGGGTTGAACTTCAACAGCCATTTGTTGGACCATTCACTCAGTCTGTCTAGGTCATCTTGTAGCCTCCTACTATCGTCCTCAGTTTCAATCCTCCTCATAATTTTTGCATCATCGGCAA